TCAGGTTCTGCTGGATCTGGAGATCCCGCATGGGTGACCTCAGCCTGCCCTGCCCACTTTGCCCTCTGCACCACTGACCCCAGCCCTGCCCTGGGCACCCAGATCACCCTGCGCCTGAAGGCCTCTCGCTCCTCCATGGTCAGGCTGTCTGCCCGGGCGATCACAGGCACCACATTTACAGTCCGGCACAGCCGCTGCAGGAACTCAATGTCCAGGGGCCGCAGGCTGCCGGGCAAGGCATTGATGGGGGCAGGGGTGGTGGTGAATGTATAAGTGACAGTGGGTGGGGGTGCAGCCCGCAGCCTATGTCTGGGACCCCTACTCCTCCTCCCTGCCCCATGCCAGTGGTCCTTGCCTTGCAGGTGCAGCCCCTCACCAGTGCCCAGTGGGTGGCACGAAGTATACGCAGCAGTGCACGCGGGTGTCCGGGATGTGGCGCTGGCGGGTGATGAGGATCTCCTCCTGCAGGTACCGCTCGTACTGCTCGTTGATGTAGCCCAGGATGGGGTCCCAGCTGGGGCGGGAGGTGGACCCTCACCTCAGAAGTGTGCCGTGCCCGGGGAGCCCCATCCCTCTCTGTTGTGTCCTCTGGGTGGTCCTCTCTCGGGATAAGGAATCATCCCAGTTTGCCTCGGACCTCTGGGTCACCCCATTACTTTCCTCCACTTTCTGCACCATCACAGAGACATAAAGAGACCTCCTGCCATTCTCCAGTGGAGGCCTTGGATTCACTGTCTATAAAATGGGGACAATAGTAGCACCTACTTCAAAAGTAAGGGAAGGGTGAGCATTAACTGCATTAAAGGGCCACAGCTGGGCTCGGACCACCAAGGACTCTCGCCTGATGGTTGCAGGGGTCTCCCTTCTCCTCTCCGAGTCCCTTTTCCCTCTGGGATATTGTCTGCACTGTAAGTAGCCAGAAAGGTCCTTTTAAAAACAGGAGTCAGGCCAGGCACGGTGGCTCATGCCTGTAATCCCAGCACTTTGGGAGGCTGAGGCAGGAGGATCAGCCTCAGGAGTTAGAGTGAGCCCAGGAGTTAGAGGCCAGCCTGGGCAACGTGGGGGAAACCCCAACTCTACAAAAAATACAAAAATTAGCTGGGTGTGGTGGCACGTGCCTGTGGTCCCAGCTACTCAGGAGGCTGAAGCAGGAGGTTCGCTTGAGCCCAGGGTGGTTGAGACTGTAGTGAGCCATGATCTTACCCCTACACTCCAGCCTGGGAAACATAGTGAGACGCTATCTGCAAATTGAAATGAAATGAAATGAAACCAGGGCCAGGCACTGTGGCTCACGCTTGTAATCCCAGCGCTTTAAGAGGCCGAGGTAGGCCGATCACCTAAGGTCAGTAATTTGAGACCAGCCTGGCCAACATGGTGAAACATCTCTACCAAAAAAAAAAAAAAAAAAAAATAGCCAAGTGTGTTGGTGGATGCCTGTAATTTCAGCTGCTCGGGAGGCTGAGGCAGGAGAATTGCTTGAACCTAGAGGTGGAGGTAATAGTGAGCCAAGATTGCACCAGAGCCCTCCAGCCTGGGCCACAAGAGCGAGACTCTTTCAAAAAACAAAAGCAAAAATTAGCCAGAAATCTCTTGAACCCAGGAGGTGGGGGTTGCAGTGAGCCGAGATTGTTCACTGCAGCCTAGGCCAGGCGTCCCCAAACTACCACCCGCGGGCTGCATGAGGCCCCCTGAGGCCATTTATCCAGCCCCCCACTGCACTTCAGGAAGAGGCACCTCTTTCATTGGTGGTCAGTGAGAGGAGCACAGTATGTGGCGGCCCTCCAACGAATGGTCTGAGGGACAGTGAACTAGCCCCCTGTGTAAAAAGTTTGGGGACGCCTGGCCTAGGCAATAGAAGGAGACTCCATCCAGGCCGGGAACGGTGTCTCAAGCCTGTAATCCCAGCACTTTGGGAGGCCGAGGCAGGTGGATCACGAGGTCAAGAGATCGAGACCATCCTGGTCAACATGGTGAAACCCCGTCTCTACTAAAAATACAAAACATTAGCTGGGCATGGTGACGCGTGCCTGTAATCCCAGCTACTCAGGAGGCTGAGGCAGGAGAATTGCCTGAACCCAGGAGGCGGAGGTTGCGGTGAGCCGAGATCGCGCCATTGCACTCCAGCCTGGGTAACAAGAGCGAAACTCCGTCTCAAAAAAAAAAAGAGCACACAGGACCTGGTTGTTCCAGGTCTGGGGTGTTTCCCAAAGGTTGGAGGGGCAGGGACAGGGACAGGAGGGGACAGCCATATTGGGCCTCAATCTCAAGAACCCACCACTTGTCATTGTTGATTTGGTCCCCGAAGCCGGGCGTGTCGGTCACTGTCAGCTTCAGCTTCACGCCTTTCTCCTCGATGACTGTGGAGGGAGCACAGAGTTGGGAGAGACTGGAGCCGGATGGGAAGGGGTAGGGTGGGGTGGGGTGTGGTGTGGGCAGGGGCTCACTCACCATGGGTCACTGAATGCAGCTGCAGCGTCTGGGGTGTGGGCACCCCCAAGCCTGGCGGGTTTGACTTCCACACTTTGGACTTGAACAGCGTGTTCACCATGGTGGACTTGCCCAGCCCACTCTGTCCTGGGAGTGGCGACCACATGACAGGGGTTGGGGTGGGCATTTTAGGCAGTTTGTCTCTAACTCTTTACTTATTTTATTTTTGGAGACAGGGTCTCAATCTGTCACCCAGGCTGGAGTGTAATGATGCAATCACAGTTCACTGCAGCCTCAGCCTTCCCAGGCTCTGCTGATCCTCCCACCTCAGCCTCTGGAGTAGCTGGGACTGCAGGCACACGCCACAGTGCCCGGCTCATTTATATATATATATCTATTTTTAGGCAGGGTCTCACTCTCACCCAGGCTAGAGTGATCTCAGCTCACAGCAATCTCCGCCTTCAGGTTCAGATGATCCTCCCACCTCAGCCCTTCAAGTAGCTGGGACTACAGGTGCACACCACCATCCTTAGTGAATTTTTTAAAAGTTTTTTGTAGAGATGGGTCTTGCTGTGTTGCCTAGGCTAGTCATGAACTCCTGGCTTCAAGGGATCCTTCTACTTCAGTCTTGCTCTGTCGCCCAGTCTAGAGTAGAGTGGAGCAATTCAGCAACCTCACTGCAACCTCTGTTACGCAGGTTCCAGCAATTCTCCTGCCTTAGCCTTCTAAGTAGATAGGATTACAGGCACCTGTCGCCACGTCTGGCTTAATTTTGTATTCTCAGTAGAGCTGAGGTTTTAACATGTTGGCCAGGCTGGTTTTGAACTCCTGACCTCAAGTGATCCTCCCGCCTTGGCCTTTCTTTTTTTTTTTTGAGATGGAGTTTCGCTCTTGTTACCCAGGCTGGAGTGCAATGGCATGATGCTCACCGTAACCTCTGCCTCCTGGGTTCAGGCAATTCTCCTGCCTCAGCCTCCTGAGTAGCTGGGATTACAGGCACGCACCACCATGCCCAGCTAATTTTTTGTACTTTTAGTAGAGACGAGGTTTCACCATGTTGACCAGGATGGTCTCGATCTCCTGACCTCATGATCCACCCGCCTCGGCCTCCCAAAGTGCTGGGATTACAGGCATGAGCCACCGCGCCTGGCCTCTTTCCTTTTTTGAAGTCTCTGTTGCCCAGGTTGGAGTGCATTGGCCTCACCTTGGCTCACTACAACCTCTGCCTCCTGAGTTCAATCCATTCTCCTGCCTCAGCCTCCTGAGTAGCTAGGACTACAGGCGCCAGCCACCATACCCATCTAATTGTATTTTTTTTTTTTTTTTGAGACGGAGTCTTGTTCTGTTGCCAGACTGGAGTGCGGTGGCACGATCTCGGCTCACTGCAACCTCTGCCTCCTGGGGTTCAAGCGATTCTCTGCCTCAGCCTCCCGAGTAGCTGGGATTACAGGCATGTGCTAATTTTTTGTATTTTTAGTAGGGATGGGGTTTGACCTTGTTAGCCAGGATGGTCTTGATTTCCTGACCTCGTGATCTGCCTGCCTCAGCCTCCCAAAGTGCTGGGATTACAGGTGTGAGTCATCTTGCCCGGCCATGCTAATTGTATTTTCAGTAGAGACAGGGTTTCACCATGTTGGCCAGGCTGCTCTGCCTGGCCTCCAAAAGTACTGGGATTACAGGAGTGAGCCACTGTGCCCGGCCCTGACTCAGCCTTTCGAAGTGCTGAAATTACAGGTGTGAGCCACCACATCCGGCCTTGTTTTTGTACTTTTTGTAGACACAGGGTTTTGCCTTGCTGCCCAAGCTAGTCTCGAACTCCTGAGCTCAAGTGATCCACCCGCCTCAGCCTCCCCAAACCCTGGATTATAATTATGAGCCACCGCTTCAGGCAGATTTTTGTCTTTAATGACTCAGCATTTTTCAAATTTTTCAATGGCAACATCCCTGTGAGGTGCCATTATCAGGCCCATTTAACAGTTGGGGAGGGACAACAGTCTGCAAAAGGTGAGGCCACAGGCCCAGGCCTGCAGGGTGGCACCGTGGGTCTGTCCCACGGTGGGCCCTGCCTCTCACTCACCCACCACCATGATGTTAAACTCAAAGCCCATCTTCATAGCCTTGATCTTCAGCTGGTCCAGCACAGCCTCGATGCCCACGGGACCAAGTGTCTCGCAGGGTGGGGTGCTGGGGCTGGAGGGCCTCGAGGATGAGCAGGGAGAGGGAGAGCGCCTCAGGGGGTCCATGGGGGCCGAGGGTTCCAGATGCCTGTCACCAGGTGGGTGGGGAGAAGGGGGTCACTGGGGCTCAGAGGAGCCCACACTAACCTCAGATCTGAACCCCAATTTGAGCTTGGCTGCTGGCCAACCCCCTCCATACATCATGCCTCCAGTGTACCCTAAGTGCCCATAGTCCCAGGGGCGTGGTGAGGGGCGTGCGGGGAGGCCTTTCTCCAGGGTGCCTCAATTCCCATCCAGAGAGACTCCAGCCCCAGCGGTCTGCCCTGTCCCTACCTACAGCCCGGGCGGTCCTCTCAGGTCACTTCCCCCAGCAAAGTCTGGTGGGCTTCGCAGAGTCCAGTAATGGTGTCTGCAGACAGCTGGAATCCTGGAGGGGTCGCAGGGAGTGTATGTGGGATGAAGTGGCTCCCCTCCCAGCAGGGAACAAGACAGGGGGCTCAGGATGAGGCGCCCCTACTTTCCCCACGGGGACACACTGAGCAGAGTTCCCCAGGGGGACACACAGATAGAGATGGAGAGCGAGCAAGATGGCACAGGCGTGAAGGTGACAGAGATACAGAGAGAGAGGGATAGACCAAGGCCAGGCAGGGAAGATGGCTGGGAAGGAGCGGAGCAGGAGCCCTCCGGGCAGGAAGAGAGAAGCAGCGTGGTGTGGCACCTGGTGCACGTGGGTCCTGGTGGAGCTTCTAGGAGCTGCCTGGTCCTGGCAGGGCCTGGTGTGTGTGATGGGGGAGGTGAGAGGGTGACAGTTAACCGAAGAATCTAAGCTCCATCCCCCACTTCCTGTCACCCCCCCCCCACCTAGGGGCTTCTCTGCAGCAGGAGTAGGAACTCTTACCCCTCTAATCCTTGCAATGACCCTAGCCTAATTATGCAACGATCCCCACCCCACGTAAAACCAGGAGCCCGAGGCCCCCACGTCAGCTGGACTTCCACCTCCAAGCTCACACCCTCAACCCCTCTGCTGGGACGAGCAAACCTGGACCCCACAACTGGCTAGCGGGACATCCGTGTCCACCCTTGGCGCCATGTGTTTTAAGTTGCCAGTGTCAAAAACATTATGAGATTGCTTTACAAATATTTACCCAGTCCTGACTGCGCATGGCATCGTTCTAGAAGCCCAAAGATATTAACTTGTTTACTACTGCCTGTTTTCTTATTTACAGAAATATCTAGATTTCCAGTGTATCTTAGAGGTTATCAGGCTGACTTGAGATGCCCTCTTTAAATGGGCCATGTGCTTTCCACACTGCCTTGGTCCTCACCACTCCCTTATCGTCTCTCTGATAAGCTTTTGTTTTGTTTTGTTTTGGAGACAGAGTCTTGCTCTGTTGCCCAGACTCAAGTGCAGTGGGACGATCTTGGCTCACTGAAACCTCTGCCTCCCAGGTTCAAGCGATTCTCCTGCCTCAGCCTCTCAAGTAGCTGGAATACAGGCGTGCACCACCACGCCTGGATAATTTTATTTTCTTTTTGAGATGGAGTCTTGCTCTGTCTCCCAGGCTGGAGCGCAGCATTGCGATCTCAGCTCACTACAACCTCCGCCTCCCAGGTTCAAGTGATTACCCTGCCTCAGCCTCCTGAGTAGCTAGGACTACAGGCTGAAGCCACCATGCCCAGCTAATTTTTTTTATTTTTAGTAGAGACAGGGTTTCGCCATGTTGGCCAGGCTGGTCTTGAACTCTTGACCTCAGGTGATCCACCCACCTCGGTCTCCCAGAGTGCTAGGATTACAGGCGTGAGCCACTGCGGCTGGTCCGAGTGCCCTTTTTCAATAATCATGGGTAATTTCCCCACTTCACCTACAAGCAAAATTGCTGGGTCTTATGGTAACACTGTGTGTTTTCTTTTTTGTTGTTGTTTTTTTTTGAGACAGAGTTTCGCTCTTGTTACCCAGGCTGGAGTGCAATGGCGCGATCTGAGCTCACTGCAACCTACGCCTCCTGGGTTCAGGCAATTCTCCTGCCTCAGCCTCCTGAGTAGCTGGGATCACAGGCACGCACCACCATGCCCAGCCAATTTTTTGTATTTTTTAGTAGAGACGGGGTTTCACCATGTTGACCAGGATGGTCTTGATCTCTTGACCTCGTGATCCACCCGCCTCGGCCTCCCAAAGTGCTGGGATTACAGGCGTGAGCCACTGCGCCCGGCTGGTTTTTCTTTCTTTGAGGTAGAGACTGGCAATGTTGCCCAGGCTGGAGTGCAGTGGCACCATTATGGCTCATTGCAACCTCTGCCTCCAGGTTCAAGTGATTCTCCTGCTTCAGCCTCCCAAATAGCTGGGATTACAGGCATGTGCCACCATGACTGGCTAATCTGAGATCACGCCATTGCACTCCAGCCTGGGCAACAGTGAGACTATACCTTAAAAAAAAAAAAAAAAAAAAGCCTGTAATCCCAGCACTTTGGGAGGCCGAGGCGGGTGGATCACGAGGTCAAGAGATCGAGACCATCCTGGTCAACATGGTGAAACCCCGTCTCTACTAAAAAATACAAAAAATTGGCTGGGCATGGTGGTGCGTGCCTGTAATCCCAGCTACTCAGGAGGCTGAGGCAGGAGAATTGCCTGAACCCAGGAGGCGGAGGTTGCGGTGAGCCGAGATCGCGCCATTGCACTCCAGCCTGGGTAACAAGGGCGAAACTCCGTCTCAAAAAAAAAAAAAAAAAAAAAAAAAACGGTCAGGCATAGTGGTCCACACTTGTAATCCTAACACTATGGGAGGCAGAGGCAGGTGGATTACCTGAGGTCAGGAGTTTGAGACCAGCCTGGCCAACATGGTGAAATGCCATCTCTACTAAAAGTACAAAAAAACAGCCAGGCATGGTGGTGGGAGCCTGTAATCCCAGCTACTCCACAGGTTGAGGCAGGAGAATTGCTTGAACCTGGGAGGTGGAGACCCTAGTGAACCGACATTGCACATTGCACTCCAGTCTGGGAAGAAGACCAAAACTCCGTCTGAAACAAAAAAAAAAAAAGGGAGGGAGGAGGATTAGAGTTAGAGGAGGAGACGTGAGCCTGGAAGCAGAAGTTGAAGGGTTACAGGGATGGGAGACTGTGGTCCAAGAAATGCTGTCAGCCTCTACAAGTTGGAGAAGGCCAGGGATGGACTCTGCCCTAGAAACCTCAGAATTAACCCAACCTGGCTGACCCATTATAGACTCTGACCCTCAGAACCGCAGGGTAATACGTTTGTGCTGTTTGAAGTTTGAAGTTACGGCAGCATTGGGAAAGGAATACATTAGGTGTGCGACGGGTTAACTACTTAACTTCTCTAGGCCTCCGTTTCCTCATCTGTAAAATGGGAAAAGCAGTGATACCCACTTTAGGATTGCCATGAGAAATAAGCTAGGTGACACAGTACAGTGCTACGGGCAGAGCCTTACATTAGCTGATATTTTCAAGGATTAAAATAGAGAAAATAAGGATGGCGAAGACCCCTAGCACAGCCAGCCTTCTGCATCCGCAGGTTCCAGATCTGTGGATTCAGCCAACCACAGACAGAAATTATTTGGGAAGAAATCACATTTGTACTGGACACATACAGACCTTTTAATTATTCCCTAAATAATGTAACAACTATTCATCTAGCATTTACATTAAAATATATATACACTTTTTGAGATGGAGTCTCACCCAGGCTGGAGTGCAGTGGCGCCATCTTGGCTCACTGCAGCCTCCTCCTCTGGGATTCAAGCCATTCTCCTGCCTCAGCGCCTCAGCCTTCCTTCTGAGTAGCAGGGATTACAGGTGTGTGCCACCATACCCAGCTAATTTTTGTATTTTTATTTTTTTTGAGTCTAGCTCTGTCACCCAGGCTGGAGTGCAGGGGCACGATCTTGGCTCACTGCAGCCTCTGCCTTGCTGGTTCAAATGATTCTCTTGCTTCAGCCTCCTGAGTAGCTGGGATTACAGGTGCCTATCACCACACCGGGCTAATTTTTTTTTTTTGGAGATGGAGTTTCACTCCTGTTACCCAGGCTGGAGTGCAATGGCACGATCTCGGCTCACCGCAACCTCCGCCTCCTGGGCTCAGGCAATTCTCTTGCCTCAGCCTCCTGAGTAGCTGGGATTACAGGCACGCGCCACCATGCCCAGCTAATGTTTTGTATTTTTGGTAGAGACAGGGTTTCACCATGTTGACTGGGATGGTCTCGATCTCTTGACCTGGTGATCCACCCGCCTCAGCCTCCCAAAGTGCTGGGATTACAGGCTTGAGCCACCACACCCGGCTACTAATTTTTTGTATTTTTAGTAGAGATAAGGTTTCACCATGTTGGCCAGGCTTGTCTCGAACTCCTGACCTCAGATGATCTGCCCGCCTCGGCCTTCCAAAGTGCTGGGATTACAAGCGTGAGCCACTGCACCCAACCAATTTTTTTATTTTTAGTAGAGATGGGGTTTCACCACGTTAGCCAGGATGGTCTCAAACTCCTGACCTTAAGTAATCTGCACACCTTGACTGTTCAAAGTGGTGGAATTACAGGCGTGAGCCACCATGCCTGGCCATTATAAATAATCCTGTGACTTTTGATTTAAAGTATAGAGGTGAATATGCAGAGTACTGCATCAATTTATATCAGAGACTTTAGCATCTGTGGATTTTGGTACCCATGGATGTCCTGGAACCAAAGCCTGAGGATACCAGGGGCAACCATATGATGCCAGGCACAGCTGTCCTAGCTGCCAGAGTCGTGGGATGCAGGCAGGTTTTCTCCCCCTTCCCCCTCCCTCCCTTCCCCCCTCACCTTTCCTCCCTTTTCTCTTTCATTCACGAAGTCAGCAGTGGCCAAGCACCCACGTATTCCCAGCTGCATTATCTGGGATACTGAGGAAAGGTAGGAAGTTCCAGGACTTAAGAAGCCACAGGCCGGGCGCGGTGGCTCCAGCCTGTAATCCCAGCACTTTGGGAGGCTGAGGCGGGTGGATCACGAGGTCAGGAGATCGAGACCATCCTGGTCAACACAGTGAAATCCCATCTCTACTAGAAATACAAAAAAAAAAAAAAAAAAAAAATTAGCTGGGCATGGTGGCACGTGCCTGTAATCCCAGCTACTCAGGAGGCTGAGGCAGGAGAATTGCCTGAACCCAGGAGGCGGAGGTTGCGGTGAGCCGAGATTGCACCATTGCACTTCAGCCTGGGTAACAAGAGCGAAACTGTCTCAAAAAAAAAAAAAAGAAGCCACAGGCCCCTGCCCTCCCTGGGCCTTGAGCAGTGGGGAGCCAGGAAGTACACTGGGCCTGGGCCCTCTCCCCTGGGCTTGGCGGCCTCTGCTGGCCCTGGGGAGGGCGGGGCTGGTTGCCAAGGCCTCAGGTGGTGTGGAGCAGGAAGCAGGAAGCAGCCTCTGCTCCCCAGGACCTAGGACCTGCCTGGCTGGGGGCAGTTGGAGGCTTTAGGAGGTAGGTGGCGGGGGGGGGGGGTCTGGGGACTGAGCTCCAGTGGGAAAGGGAGGAGACAGTGGCTAGGGAGGTTGTCTATGCTGGGGTCAGGGTAGGGACCACAGGGCTGGGCAAGGAGAGAGGCTGGGCCTGGAGCCAAGGGAGTAGGTGGTGGCGGGGAAGCTGGTGCTGGGCCAGGAGTGGGCAGACGCTGGGCTCTGGGAGGCCTGGATGTGGTCTCTACTGAGCCAAGCCCAGGGTTCTGATGCAGGCTCTGGGGGCCAGGGCAGGTGGCACTGTGGACGCCGAGATGGCTGTGTCCATGGACGAGGTGGAGGCCACAGTTCAGGAAGTCCTGGGGAAACTAAAGAGCCACCAGCTGTTCCAGTCCACATGGGACACCGCTTCCTTCGTCATCTTCCTCACCTTCGTGGGTAAGTGTGGCTGCAGCCTCCAGGCCCCACCAGACCCCTGCCCAGGTCCCAGGTTGGGGGCTACATCTAGACATCTGTCCTGTCCCCAGGCACTGTGCTGCTCCTGCTGCTGCTGGTTGTCGCCCACTGCTGCTGCTGCAGCTGCTGCGGCTCCCCCAGGCCCCACAGGGAAAGCCTCAGGAAGGTGAGCCCCTGGAAGGTGAGCCCTGCTGGCCTGTCGGTGCCAGGGGACCTGCACAGAACTGTACTAGGGGTGGAGGAGGGGGTGAAGGGGTGGAGGTGGGGGATGGGGGCGGTGGGAAAGGGGCTTGCCCCTCCTAGGGAACAAGGAGCAAACCTGCTGGGTTCCTCTGTGCTTCTCTTGCAGGAAAGACCCAAGGGAGTGGATAACTTGGCCCTGGAACCCTGACCCTGTGTGTCCCGCCTGTTGGCAGTAACAAAGCCTCTGCCTGCCCAAAGTCTGAGTCTGCAGTGTCTTCCACAACTGTGCCAGGTCATCCTGGGTCACCTAGCTGGGAGAGCAGCTGGTCTGACTCAGGGGCTCCAAATTCCAGGTAGAGCGCTTGTCACTACCCTGGGGTCTCTTGGTAGCCAGAGGGTCCTCTCAAAGGTGGGTTCTGTGTCCAGCCCCGGCATAGGGAGCAGAGAAGCCAGGCTCTGGGAACAGGGGAGACTGCCAGCTCCTGAAGCTGAAGGCCACTGACCACCAGTGACCCCCAGCCTGGGTCCCTGCTCAGACAGACAGACAGGAGCTCCAGTTGGAGTCTGATAATCTTTATTTCTTAGAGGATCCTGGGTCGGGGCTGTGGAACACACAGGCACCAGCGCTACATTCACTCCTGGGGTGGCTATGTCTGCACTGTTTCTGCCCATCTCCTGGGACTCATAGCTCAGTGCCACCACCTAACCTATGCCCTCCAGGGGGAGGGGACAGTGAAGGGGAGAGGAAGGAGAGCCCTGGGCCTGGCCCTGCCCTGAGTTCAAAGATTCCCATGGTGACCAGGAGGGCGGGGTTGGGAATATGGGACCGTCTCGGCCCCACCTTCCTGACCTCCTACTAACACGCCACCAGACCAGCCTCCCTTCCTCCTGGCATTTCCAGTGTCTGCTCCCAGCAGTGCAAATGTGTTAGGTGGGGGAGGGGTGTGGTATGGGAGATAAATAGCAGCCTGGTGTTGGCTGGTGCTGGCACGGGTTTGAGTAGGGACTGGGGTCACCTTCCTGAGGACAGGCTCCTGGGCGCCGTGCTCAGAAGGGTCTGTAGCTCCAGTAGCTGGAGAACACAGAGACCTGCAAGGGGAGGGTTCGGTGAGTGGCTGGATGCAGGGCACGGGTGGCCCAAGTGAGATGTCAAGGTCACCCAAGGGCAATGGGTCAGGACGGGGCACTGCTGCCTAGCGGTGCTATCGGGGTACACCAGACCCCAATGTTGGGGTGCTCTGAGAGTGTGGCAGGGCCCTCAGAACTCCTCCTCACTGTGGGGGTACATCAGACCCCAATGTTGGGGTGCTCTGAGAGTGTGACAGGGCCTTCAGAACCCCTCCTCACTGTGGGGGTACACCAGACCCCAATGTTGGGGTGCTCTGAGAGTGTGACAGGGCCTTCAGAACCCCTCCTCACTGTGGGGGTACACCAGACCCCAATGTTAGGGTGCTCTGAGGGTGTGGCAGGGCCCTCAGAATCCCTCCTCAGTGTGGGAGTACACCAAACCCCAAGGTCAGGTGCTCTGAGGGTGTGGCAAGGACCGTTAGAAGCCCTTCCCCTAATGAAGGTGCTCGCCGGGGCCCCACCTTGTCCTTGAGCTGCTGGCAGAGCTGCAAGGAGACAGTGAAGTAGACCAGGGCGTCGTTGAGCCAGGGGACCACACACTCCACCTTGTGCACATGGCTCACCTCCAGGCGCTGAGAGCCCCACTCACTGTGGGTGGTGAGAGGAGGGTCCCTGAGTTGGGGCCCAGCCCTCCAGGTGCAGCGGGATGGGGTGACCATGCCTGGACCTCCCTCCCTTGCCTACTTACAACATGGCCCCTGGGCTGTGCAGCACCGCGCCTCCGGCAGGGCGGAAATTCTAGGCAGAACAGCACCAGAGCCGTCAGACCGCACAGGGTGTGGGCACGGGGGGCGCTAGGAGGCAGGGGTCTCTCCTCACCTTGGTGGAGTTGGGCTGCAGGGCGTGTAGCTGGTACACCGTGAGGCAGAGCTTGTTGAGGTTGATGTAGACGTTGACCAGCAGGTCGGAGGGTAGGGCAGGGGCGAACATCCGCTGCAGGAGGCAGGTGGGATGAGGCCCTCCCAAGCCCCCAACCCAGGGTGGATGGAGTGGGGCTCTGTGGTCAGTCGTGGAGTCTGCAGGGGACCCCAGTGTCCACCCCAGGGATGTTCTTCCAGGTTTTTCCCAGGTGCCCCAAGTATCTTCCTGTGCCGCCAGATTTGGGAAGCACAGACCCAAACAGGGTTAACATATTTTGCGGGCAAAGGACGGAAGCCAAGAACCCCATCCAGAAAACCGCCTAGATAGAATTCTAACTACAATTTGGGGGGTGGCCCCCTGTGTCCATCCTGTGGGCAAGCTGGGCCCCGCTGCAGGGACCCCTCTCCTCGAGCAGGGACACTGACCGTGAGGCCGCTGGCAGCGATCTCGGGCAGAGTGAGGGTGGCGGGGGTGGTGAGCCGGTTTCGGGCTCTGGTCAGCTGCAGCATCACTGCGTCCATCAGCTGTAGGGAGGGGTGGGGATGGCTCTGCTTCCTCCTGTGCGCCCACGCATCAGGGAACAGCAGATAAGGTAGTTCCTACTCCCGCCCAGTCACCACGGTTCCCAGGGCTGGAACCCCAGCTGCAGGGGCTTGTCAAAGACGGGTAGTTGGGCTGCAGCTGGGCAGGACATCTGTACTGATGTCATAGGGATGGGGCTGATTCATTGCATGGGGGTCCCAGACGCTGGATCAATGGGGAATGGAAGGTCCTGGGAGGTCAGTCCCAGGGGCACAGGCTTTGCAGACAGGGGTATAGGCAACAAAAGTTGGCTGTGAAAGGCCAGAGAGGGCTTCCTGGAGGAGGCGATGGAATGGCTGGGTTGAGGTTTTCAGGGGGCCAAGGCAGGGTCACAGCTGGTGGATGGTGGGACCACGTGGAGCCCATACTTTGCCTTTGCCATAGAGCAGAGCCTGGGAAGACTTCTCAGAGCCCCAGCTTCCATGCCATCCAGCTGTGGCCATGGGTACTGGGGGCGATGTGGCTCTCAGGAAACACACAGGAGCTGACTGGAGGCATGGGGGCTGTACCACCCCAGGGTGGTCACAGTTCTCGAACGAACCTCAGTCCATCTGGTTCCAAGTATGACAAATCAGAGGTCCAGAGAGGGCCGGTGAGCCACCAGAGGACACACACTACGTCAGGGGCAGAGCTCAAGGATGAGGCCAGGTGCCTGGGTCAGCTCTTTAAACGTGCCACGTGGTTAATGTGAAGGCTTTCACTGCTGCTTGCGGCAGCATGACCTCAATTATCACAGTCACTCCAGCTGGCCTCCCACCCCAGAGGTAGAAAATAGAGACGCAAAGTAGGCAGGTTAAGTGCCTAGAGGTTGCACAGCTTAAAGTGGGAGCCCTGGGATTGGAACCTGGGTCTGAATCTGGATCAAGGACATGGGACTAGGCCCAGGGGGCCAGCGCTCTCCAAGAATCAGGTCTGGGGGCAGCTCACCTTGAGGACCTCAGCGCCCGTTTTGAACTGGTAGCTCTCATCCCGGCTGGTGAGCAGGTAAATGGCTTGGCTCACATGGTTCCTAGCATCCTGGATCTGGAAGCACAGGTCATTCAGTGGGGTCACTCCAGCTTCCATGTGGTCAGGAAGGGAGGGTGGGTGCTGCCTATCTGCCCCAGGTCATTGCACTCTCTACACTGTCATATCTGTGCCCCAGAGAGCCATGTCTGCGCCAGGGGATGGGTACTTGGCATCATCTGGGGCAGGCCCAGTCTCTGCCCTAGAGCGGCTCACTTTCTAAGGGATGGACAGACAGTAGTGCCCAAGACAAGAATCTCTGTGAGTTGCAGAAGGAAGCAAATAGGATGACATGGGCAGGGGCAAGGGTCCTGAAATGGAGACAGTTGGGCGGGGGGGGGCAGGAGAAAGAGGCAGGGCCCAAAGGCACAGGAGCTGCCAGGGAGCACAGACCTCGTCCCCAGAGCCATGGCAAGTCCCTGGAGGCTCTGGGCAAGGGAGTGACTTTTCAGAGGGCTTCTGAATCATCCCATCCCACCAGCTGCTGTGGGACTCGCAGTCCTGATGTGGCCCTCAGTCCACGTTCTCCACCTTCCCACATGGCCCACGCTTCAGCGCTTCAGGCAACGCCTACCCCCGCCTTTGCTGCTAGGAAACACCCTCCCAGGCTTGCTGTGGCTGCAGATCCCCAGGGCCCGTCCCTCTTTAGGGAGGTCCCAAGGCGGGCCTGCTGCCACCTGTCCTTGTGGCTGAGCACTGGCCAGGGAGAGGCGGGCTCACCTGCTGCAGCTTCCACTGCTTGTCCTCCCGGAAGGCGAAGTGCAGCAGTTGGTTGTTCCGGGGCATCTTAAGGTTCACATCCTAACAGGCAAGAGTGGGATGAGCCGGGTAGGGGGATACCTCCTGCCACAGCCACTCTGAGCCCTTGAGCCTGGGGCAGAAACGGTGCATGTGGCAGCTCAGGCCTCAGCTGCTCTGTAGGGCAGAGGGTCTCCGTATGCCTTGGCCGTTTGTTGGTTGAACAGGGAGGTCAGGAAACAGGAAATCAGGCCCAAGAGGGGCCACAAAGAAGTGAAATGGAGCAAGGCACGGTGGCTCATGCCTGTCATCCCAGCACTTTGGGAGGCCAAGGTGGGCGGATCAACTAAGGTTGGGAGTTCAAAGATCAGCCTGACCAACATGGAGAAACCCTGTCTTTATGAAAAACACAAAATTAGCCAAGCGTGGTAGAGCATGCCTGTAATCCCACCTACTTAGGTGGCTGAGGCAAGAGAACCACTTGAACTGGGCAGGCATAGGAGGTTGCAGTGAGCTGAGATCGCGCCATTGCACTCCAGCCTGGGCAACAAGAGTGAAACTTCATCTCAAAAAAAAAAAAAAAAAAAAAAAAAAGTGAAATGGAAAGAGGTGGAGATAGGGGAAGGAGAAAGGGGAAAGCGGAAGGCAGCCTCTGTCAGGCCTGGTGTGAATGGAGTGCATCTAGTGTCTACAAAGGCCAACAGATGGAGCCTAGGAGGCCCCCCCCGCCCTGTGCCTTGGTGCCTGGCACAGGGTTGGGTGCAGACTGGAGCTCAGGCGTTGGCTGATTCAACCGTGACGTGTGGCCAGCAAATCTGCCAATGCCCATGCTTCACTGGGTCCAGATGCCAGATCAGGCTGTGTGGGAAGAACTCCCCTCCTGAACCTCTTACTGAATGTGCACACCGATCCCTGGAGGAGATGTGGGGGTTGCTGTCATTTTCCAAAGGAGAAAACTGAGGCCAGAGAGACCAAGGGTCCCCACCCAGAGTCCCAGAGCTTGCAGAGAGAGAAAGTGGGAGCCCCCATGCTCTTCCCTGCTGGCAGGATGGGAGGGGACAGGGCGGGGGACTCACCGCCTGGCTGAGGGCATCCCCCTGCAGAGTCAGCACGCCTTTCACCTGGTCTGTGCTGTAACATGTGGCGTCAGAGCAGTACCTGCGTCCACACCCCCACCACCCAGCCCTCCTTCCCGGCTGGCTGCCCCTTCCTGTTCCACCGCACACCCAACTGGTCTGCAGGACAGGGCTGTGGCCATGCCTCCTACACCCAAGGAGTCTCCCAGCCCAAGGAGACCATTTCCCTGGTTTCTGCCCAGCCCAGGCTCACCCACAGCTGCCTAGGATGAAGTTCTCTTGCTTGGCCGGCCCCTCAGTGCCTGAGCCTGGCAGAGTGAAGCGCAGAGAGGCCTCCTGCGGGACAGAGGGGAAGAGGTGAGCTGGTAGTGCTCACCCAGGCCCGGCCCAGTGCTTCATCTAGAAGTCCCTCTCCCTCCAAGTCAGGGGGATAAGGAACAAGGTGGCCTGGTCTCACCTGGGTTCAGCTGGGGTGGGAAGACCCTGCCCAGCCTCCAGGGCACCTAATCTATGAGCCCGATCTCTGCTTATCCCACATTCCCTCAACACCCCCCATGTGCCCACCTCGGGGACCACGGGACACACAGGGGCAGCCTACGAGCTTGGCTGAGGGGGAGAGGCACAGAGTCGGGGAACAAGGCAGTGGTCATGGCAACTCGCGGTCCGGGGCCTCAGCAAGCACTGCGCCGGTCACTTCTGTGAGCTGCCTGGCTCATTTATCTACACCACAGCCCCGCGAAGCGGGTACTGTTATCTCTATTTTTGCAAATGAGAAAAGGGAGATGCTGAGTGACTTGGCTGAGGTCCCACTGCCGGGCACAGGCAGAAGTCTTCGGCTCCCAGATTGGATGCCGCTGCTCTCACGGCGGCCCTTGCTAATCCCCCCGCCAGGACGCGCCCCTGCCCGCACAGAGGTGCTTGTGTAACGAGGTCGGCTCGAGTTCCCGGAGGAGGCGGCGGCGGCCGCACGCAGTAGGCGCTCAGGACGCAACCTCGGGGCGCCCCGAGGAGCCAGGGAGATGAGGAGGGCGCGCCGCCACGCCCGGCGGGCCAGGACGCGGGCCGTTACCTTGAGGATGTCCTGCAGCTGCCTCAGCACCGCGTGCACCTCGTCGTGCAGCAGCCAGCGAAACTCCTCCTCCTGCGAAACAGCCACAGCGGTCACGCCCGGCCCCGCCGCCCTGCCTGCCAGCCCGCCCGCCAGCCCGCGCGCCTCACCAGCACCGCCCGCTCCGCCGCCGTCGCTGCCATTACGGTGGCCATGGCCGGAGGCCGCCGCCGAGCGCCGTCCCCACCGGCCGCTGCTAGCGTCCTCCAGTCCTCGCGTCCGCCCCCAGCGTCCGGCTCCGCCTCCGCCCCCGATTGGCTGAGCAAGCGCCGGCCCCGCCCCCGGACGGGCTCCGTGCTCGCGATTGGCCGGCGCCTGCCGGCCGCCGCGGCTCACGAGACCTGCGGGCGCTCAGGAACGAGGTTGGCTGCTGGGCGAGTCTGGCTCGCTCCGGCCGGCCTAGGGACGCTGCCCGCACCAGCCTGGGGCACCGTAGGGACGACCACTCAGGGGCGGAGCGCTGGGGCCGCTGGCCCAGGTCCCCACCTGATGGGGGGAGGGGTTGCTCTGCTTCACCCGCGCTCACTGATTGGCCTGCAGGACAGTCTGTTCCGGCCTAGCCTCCCTATTGGCCCGCTTGGCTCAGTTGGTCGCGGTTCCCGTCCCGCTTCGGTCGGTCTCCCTCGGAGGCTGACGTCCCGAAAGCCCACCCTTGTCCCACCCCTCCTCCAAGCGGCCCGCGGGCCCTCCCCTCCCACCCATCTCGCCAAGGAAGGGGAATGCAGGACCCCTGCAGCACAGCTGTGTTACCAAGAAATGTTTTATTTTTCTTGCAGTAGCTTTGTTAATTGCACAAAATCATGTTTTGTTTTTGCCATTTAAACATTATCACACAATCCTATTCCGAAAGACAAATGTTCATTAAAAACAAAGCAAAAATAAAAATTCACAACCTTAATTACCTAGATTTGTCATTTAAAGGTTTAAAGAAAAAAGGGAGGGGCTTTCTTACAAGCTTCTTCACAAGTGTCACATTTTCTCCTTAAAAGGGAAGGATTTCAAAACAAAGGTGAAATAGCTTAAACAGAAATATTCATAAAAAGGAACTTTACAGAATTGTCAACAATATTAAGACAACATTGACTAACCAGTTTCATTACCGCCTCTTCCCCCACCCCCACCCCCAGTGTGTCCCGCCAGGACTAGAACAGGCTTTGTGTTCGGACAGAAATGCTTCAAAATCCCAGTGAAATGAACTGTGCTAAAAGCCCAACAGGCATCTTCCCTGCCCTCCCCACTCCTCTTCTGCAATCCTCCAACCCAGGTTTTAATCTGTGAAAAGGGGCCAAATCCGTGAGGGGGTAGGGACGCCGCCCCAGTCTGGCCACCTTATATATAATTATATTTTCCACCAAAGCTGTTGGCCTTCCTTCTGCAAATTATGATTTTAGAAAATCCAACCCATGCAGAGGATAAAAAACTGACATCCTTTGGGTGACTTCTCCTTGTTTTTTTTTCAACATCCCAAACCCCCTCTGGTCCCCTATCCAAGGAGAAATGTAGGGCCTCAAGGAAGTCCCAGACCCACCTCAGAGGGTCAGTCAGTTCAGGCAGGTCAGGCCCAGTTAGTTCTCTTCCCTCCCGACAGACCCCGGGCCCGGGAAGCACCGAAGACCATGACGCTGGCTGGAGTGAAGACACTTGTTTCCGTATCAAGAGCTGAGCCTAAGAAATGCTCATCGTTGGTCAGGCTGGGTCTGGGCCAAAGAAGGGACAGACAGACAGAAAGAAATACTGTCTCCACAGGAGGAAGATGGGGAGGAGGGAGGACGGAGAGCAGTGGGCATGCAGGGGACTTGGCAGGGCAGGCTGGAGAAGAGGGGATTACTGGGAGGGGACCAAGGTCAGAGCGGCTCTTCAGAGCCAGGTGAAGTATGTGGCCTAACGGAAACAGGAAGGAATACCCCCAACCCCCATTCCTCTTGGCTCCTCACTAGTGGCCCTGAGGACCCCCTCCCAAGGGCTGGAATGCAAATCCAAATACTAGAACAGCCCAGGGAGGAGCAAACACCCTCTGTGACAGTGGCGTTTGGGGCCTTGCTTTGCTTCGCTTCGAGGCGGTGAGGGCCGGGCCTCCGTGCTCACCTGCAGGCCAGCTGCTTGCTGCACTCCCTGGAAAGCCAGGGCCCCATCTTCTTGGGACTCTGCCAGTCTCTTTTCAGTTCACAAAGGCGTCTATGGAGCGCTGGGGGCACACTGGACGCTTAGACGTGAACATCTTTCTCAGATCATCACCTGAGGTTGGGGGGCCTCATGGGACCCTCCATCTGGAGTCTGCTGGCTCATCTGGGCCCAAGGCCTTTTCCTGCGGGGGATCCAGTGGGGGACGTGGACACACCTACAGCCTCTTCGCTCTGCTGGAAGCTATGGGAAGGCTTCCAAATCTCATTGCTGATTCTAGTTCGTTGACTGGAAGGGGTTTGGTAAGACAAGCTTGGAAGAAAAAAAGCCAGGCAGCAGTTTCTGGGCAGCTTCTATCCTGGGGTGAGAGCCTGTGTGTGTATGTGTGTGTGCATGTGTGTGAACACACAGCCACCTTGTCTGGGGGCCAGTGCCCAGCTCAAGAGCATTCCCACAAGCCAATCCTGCTGACACTCATCCCCTCCCCACTGGCCTCAGGGGAAGGGTGCTGCTGTGTGCTGTGCTGATGGCAAGTCTCAAAGTCTGTATAAAAGGAAATGGAGACAGGCGGGCTGGTCCAGAATGAAGTCCCAGGCCCCCAACCCCATGTGAGGAAGAGGGGGTTAGGGGGAAATGGAGGGCTGGGCGTGGGGTGTCGACGGCTTAGTGTATGTAGGCTCGGTACACGGCAGACATATCGTTGTCGGACTGGTCCAGCGCCTTGGCTCTTTTGTATACCTGAAAAAAAAAAAAAAAAGGGATGGCTCAATCTCTGGTCCCAGAGGAGCCTGTTAAGACCTAGACCTGATTCCTAGAGGCAATGCTGGATGTGGCTAACAGGCAGTGCTGGAGCCCAGGCTGTCTGGGTATGAATCCTGTTTTGACCTTGCATGAAGCACCTGTTTCTCTGGGCCTTGGCCACTGGGCTTCTTGCTCTGGGAGAGGGAACAGTACCCGCTGGTTCTTGTGGGAATGAAACGTACCATGGGATATAAAGCATTCAGCACTGGTCAGGTGTGGTGGTTCACGCCTGTAATCCCAGAGGCTGAGGTGGGCGGATCACCTGAGGTCAGGAGTTTGAGACCAGCCTGGCCAACATGGTGAGACCCCATTTCTACTAAAAATACAAGAATTAGTTGGGTGTGGTGGTGTGTGCCTGTAATCCCAGTAATTCGGGAAGCTGAGGCAGGAGAACTGCTTGAACCCAGCAGGCGGAGGCTGCAGTGAGCCAAGATGATGCCATCACACTCCAGCCTGGGCAACAGAGTGAGACTCCATCTCAAAAAACAAACGACAACAACAAAAAGCATTCAGCATTATTAGTAATTTAATAATGTCCCTTCACGCAGATGACCCTCCAAAGCCTTTCCATGTTATCCTCTGGGCTGTTGTCCTTACTCTTCCTTCTGCATGGAATGCTTTTCCCTCACTCACTTATCACCGGTTCCTTCTTTTTTTTTTTTTTTTTTTTTTTGAGACGGAGTTTCGCTCTTGTTACCCAGGCTGGAGTGCAATGGCGCAATCTCGGCTCACCGCAACCTCCGCCTCCTGGGTTCAGGCAATTCTCCTGTCTCAGCCTCCTGAGTAGCTGGGATTACAGGCACGTGCCACCATGCCCAGCTAATTTTTTTTTTTTTTGTATTTTTAGTAGAGACGGGGTTTCACCATGTTGACCAGGATGGTCTCGATCACTTGTCCTCGTGATCCACCCGCCTCGGCCTCCCAAAGTGCTGGGATTACAGGCGTGAGCCACCGCGCCCGGCCCCTATCACCAGTTCCTTCTTAGCTCAAAGGCCTCCAACTGAAGCAGCAGCTGCACCCACCACTTCACCCAGTCATCTCTGTCTTTACCTGTATTTCTTATACTCTGAAACTCTTACCTTTTTAACTGCTTATGTGCTAATTCTGTACCTCCTTCCAGTTAAATGTAAGTGCCCCTGGGAGGGACAGAGGGAGTGGCATACCAACATGTCCTCAGAGTCCCGAACACTGTCTGGCAATCAGCACCTGCCCCAGAGATGCTAGTGGAATATGAAAACGCTTGACAAGAACTAAAAAGCCATTGCTCCATACGCAATACGGCTGGACACACGGGTCCCTCCTACATAACTAGCTGTGGGTTTCTTTCTCTTTTTTTAAATTAAGTAGTCCTGTGAGAGCCACCATAACTGAGGTCCCTACAGCTCAGGTGTAAATGTCAGCTCACAGTTGACAGTTACAACTGAATAACGACATTTTCAGGTAAAAGAAACTGTCACTGGGCAGATCTAGATTATAGGAAATTCCAAAGAAAGTTTTTTCAGTGGAAAGGAAGTAAGACCAGAGAGAAACTCTTCTTTACGGAGGGATAGAGACCACCAGGAAGAGGAAATCTAAAGAAAAGTAAAATTATTTTTTCTCTTAATTTTGAGATGGAGTCTAGCTCTGTCCACCAGGCTGGAGTGCAGTGGTGCAATCTTGGCTCATTGCAACCTCCACCTCCCAAGTTCAAGAGATTCTTGTGCCTCAGCCTCCTGAGTAGCTGGGACTACAGGCGTGTGCCATGACCTCAAGCAATCCAACCACTTTGGCATCCCAAAGTGCTAGGATTATAGGCGTAAGCCACTGCACCCGGCCTTTTTACTTAATTTCTTTAAAATACATACAACTGCTTAAAATGAAAAATCACAATGTTGCCTGGTGGGTTTAAAACAAAGGCAGATGAAACACCCAGGAGATCTGTACCTCAGAGTGGGGGTTCTCACACCTGTGGTGCTTCTGCCCCCAACGGACATCTGGTCATGCCTGGAGAAATGTTCTGTCACCCTAGAAGGGGCTATGTCACTGGCGTCTGGTGGGTGGGGGCCCAGGAGGCTGCTCAAATTCCTGCAGTGCTCGTGATAGCCCCACACACAGAATGGAAGCAGTGCTGAGGTTGAGAAAACCTGCCTTAAAGGATTGAGGGAAGGGAGATAAATGCTTCTATGTGGTTGCAAAGTTCTTACATTCAACGAGAAATGGCATAAGATTAACTGTTTTTTTTTCTTGAGACAGGGTCTTGCTGTATTGCGCAGGCTGGAGTGTAGCAGTAGGATTATGGCTCATTGCAGCCTTGAACTCCTGGGCTCAAGTAATCCTCCTGCCTCAGCATCCTGAGGTAGCTAGGAATAGGGTGCTTGCCACCACAACAAACTGATTTTTGTATATATATATATTTTTTGTACAG